ATGCAATGGGGAGGAGATAAAAATGATTGAAAAGATGGCACATGGGAATTATTTAACAGACAAGCAACTAGGAGAGTAATTCAAGGTAAATGGATCTATAAAAAGAAGCTGAAGCCTGATGGATCAGTGTACAAACATAAAGCAAGATTGGTTGTCAAGGGGTTTGCTGAACAATTTGGAATAGAATTCTAGATACATTTGCACCGTGGCTAGGCATGACACAATTAGGTTTCTCCTTGCCTTGGAACCCAATTTGAGTGGAGAATCTACAATTAGATGTCAAATGCCTTCCTAAATGGTTGGTCAATAGGAAATTTATGTGGAGCAACCAAAAGGTTATGAAGTGGAGGGGTAGGAGCAAAAAGTCTATTTGCTGAGGAAGGTCTATATGGCTTGAAACAGGCCCCTAGAGCCTGTAGTAGAATCAATGAGCATTTGGTCAGCTTGGTATGCAAGGAGCCCAATGAACATACACTATATGTGAGAAGGCTGGAAGGGGAATTAAAATAGTGTCATTGTATGTTGATGACTTACTCATCATGGGAAGCAACTCAACTCAACTTGAGGGTTTAAAATGGCCATGCACAATGAATTTGAAATGACTGACTTGGGGAAATGTCTATTTTTTGGAATGGAGGTCCACCAAAGCCACCATGGCATATTTGTTAGCCAAAGGAAATTTGCCAATGAAATTGTAAAAAGTTTGACATGGACAAGTGCAAACCAGTTGACACTCCTCTGGTTGCAAATTTAAAGTTGAGCAAGGATGATGGGGTTGTGAAAGTGATGAAAAAATGTATAGAAGTTCGATTGGGTGGGTACTGTATTGATTGCCACCCTACCAGACTTGATGTTGCAACAAGCATTCTCTCAAGATTCATGTCCAGCCGAGTGAAATTCTCAAGGCAACCAAGAGGGTGTGAGGTATGTTAAGGGAGTAGTGAGCTTGGTGTATGGTTCAAAAGAACCGAAAATTTACAGTTATGGGTACTCTGACAGTGATTGGGCTGGATGCATAGATGACATGAGGAGTACTTCAGGTTATGTCTTCTTCATAAATTCAAGAGCTATATGCTGGCTTTCCAAGAAGCAGGTACCATGCTCAGTCCACAGCAGAAGCATAATACATTTCTGTGCTGTGCTGTAAACCAGGCCATATGGCTTAGAAAAATTTTGTAGGATGAAGGCAAACTCAGGATGAACCAACTGTGATGTTCTGTGACAATAGTCAGCGGTTGCAATGGCAATAATCTCATCTTACACGGCAGGACCAAGCATATTAAAATCAAATTCCATGCTGTGAGAGAGGCAGAGAGTAATGGAGAAGTGAAACTAATCCACTGCAGGGGTGAAGAAACAATAGTGATATAATGACCAAAGCTTACCTAAAACCAAGTTTGAGAGTTTAAGACTTAAACTTGGTGTTTCCAGCAAGATTATCAAGGAGGAGTGATGAAGTTGGTGATAACTGCTAGAAATGGAACAAAAGTTGGCTGAAGGTTCAAACAATATTTTGGCAGCAACAATTCTGTTTTGGTTGGGCTGCTGTAATTGTTGCAGTCGATATTTGGCACAATCAAGTTGATTTTTGTTTGACATGTTTAGTTGAGACTAAGACATGTTTTGGTATTGTATTTGTTTAAATTCAAATGTATTATTTTTTAATCCACTGCAGTAGATTGCTTTAGGTAAAACAGTGGAGTTGCTGTATATATGTTTGTTGTTCAATGAATGAAATACATAGAAAAACTTTCAGCCTTTGCCGTCCCTTTCTTTTACAAATCACTCTCTCTTTACTCTCATCATCTCTCAACTGAACCAACATAACATTATTTTCCTCAATCGCATCAACTTTGAGCAAGAATGGAAGATGAAAGTGAAATATTTTTTATCATTATGAACAACAAAACTAGTTGAGCATGAGTGGAAGGATTGATCACGAAATTACTATTTTAATCAAACAGATAATTAAGCTATCAGGAACATCGGCAAAGAAAGGCACATTCTTCTGTTGAAGGTTTTCACATTGCTCTGAGGTTGCAGTCATCGGATCAAAAGGCTCCCTACCCGCAAGAGTTAAGCCTTGTTGATTCGACCCACTTTCCCGGAAGTAGGACTTGCATTGAAGTGATAGGTAGCCTTATAGATTGATATTCTTCAAGGGCCATTTGAAAATTGAGGCTCCCATTCTCCATGCATTTGCTAATAATGCTGCGTCTAATATTGACATGTTTGTACTTCTTCCAGAGTGTGGAGGGTGGGATGGACAGCGTCTCCGATTAACACCACTCTGTCCCAAACAATTTGTTTCAAAGGATCACAATCATAAATACACAATGAAAGGGTCCTTTGTTCTTTTATCACTCTTCCAAACTCAGGAATCCAATCTTCTCAGCCTCTGGTGCATTGCGCTTATCATGGCGCTGTTTACTTTAATGTAACTGAATTCCCTGAATTGTTGGTTGTGAAATCATAGGACCAATCAATTGATAACTTATAATTGAACGTAAATGGTACAGAGTTAGAAAAAGATTTTGTACGTGGTTGGGTTAAAAGTAATGGTCACTAAAAACACTTCAATTGTACGTGGCGGTGTTGCAGCTAATACATAAGTCTGTTGTCTAAGTAGCCGGCTATTTTAGCAGTTATTAAGATTGAGATTGACCCAAGTTAAGGATAGGTTTAGCATTAACTAAGGGGAATCACCTTCATGGGGCTCAGGTTGATTGATATACCAAATCCAATTGAGCCCTCTGACATAAGCTCACAAAGAGTTGAGTGAGTTCCAGGAGCCAATTCCATGTATAAGCACTTCAAGATCAGGATACGCTTCCGGAAGCCCATCATGGTATCCAAATTCTTTCCTGAATACTCAAGAACGCCCCTCCATGCACAGTATCTGAATACCTGTCAATGTACATAAAAATAAAAAAAAAAAAAGAAAAGAAACCATAAAACGACGCATCTTAAACAAAAAAAATCATACAATAATGTTCCTGGAAACCTTAATTTGGGGTCAGGTAAAAACTCTGTCGAATTGATGAGCGGGCCCGTCTGCTGCAACCAGCAAATCTCCTCTACTTCGATGATCTCATTCGTTTGAAGGTCTTTGGCCTTTACTTTAACACTGGTTTGTGCTTCGAAATACAGAAAGAGATGTATTGGTGACCCCAAAGAAATATTTCACGCGGCAAAGTATGTATAGAAGAGCATGAAGATCAGTCAATGTGCAACCCTAAAGTTCAAGTTTTCATCTCTTGTTAGTACCAATTCACCTCTTCTCCCCATCTGTTGCTCGGTTCTGTAAAAATATTAATTAAACACAAGTCGTACATAGAAACTACCCATGCACCACACTTTTAAGGGTTAATCAAATATAAAAAGTATGGAATAAAAATACCTGATCAATTGGGAGAGGTAAGGTAACTTTGTAGAAGGGCTCAGGATGAGGGAGCCATGACTGAATTATTTTCTGAGACAACGTATCAAGTCCAAGTCCAGCACCAGTTGGACTTGCCGTTGTGGGTGCTCGCGATTTCTCAATCACAACAACATCCAACCTGCACAACTAAGCGCTTTTGCGCATGAGACCTTGCTATGCTTCCTCCCACTATGATTGCCTTAGCCTTCTGCTTCTCATCCTCCCGATCTTCCTCCCCATACAAACACTCATTTGAGCATGTATTTATACAAAAAAATTATCGAGATTACCGCTAAGTTTGACTTTACCTATCGAAATTATATCACAAACCTAACGATAATCAGTTTCTGATGTATTTCTCTCACAAATTAACGTGTCAACTGATAATAGGTTTGTATAATATTGATGAATCATAACGTGGCAACTGATAATTTTTATTTATAGTTGTCACATTAAGTTTGTTCCAGAAAATTTGTGAAATTAGTATTGACCTGATTAATTAGTGGACTGAAATCAGGAAATAGATTAAGTTGACTTAAAACAGGAGATAGGAGTGATGTTTAAAGTTGTCATAATTTATGTGGGACATAATTAAAGAGTGTTAATTGAAGTAAGAAAGAAATTAAGCTTTCACCCGGGAAGAATACATTTTTGCCTTTTAGATAGATACAAAGTTGTAGGACTTTGGGTGAAATTATGAAGCTTGTTACTGGTCAGGTAGAATGGGGTGAAACAGAATCCACATAAAAGCTGGACATGAAGGAAGATGAGTGCACGATCCCTCACTGCAGTGTCTGACATGTGCGATCCGCAGTCCCAGATAGCCACTCAAATTGCTTTATGTTCTTCTTTCATCACATCTCTTTTTCTCTATTGGCCAACAAAAGCTGTCATATTTTTGGCTATTATTCTGGTGAAAATGACTATTCACTCATTGCTCATTGCGCTCAAGCTCAGCAACAGAAAGCTTTCAGTTTCCCTCGCTCTAGACACTAAATTAAGTAACGAGCTAGATTTTGCATTTCCTGTGAAATTATTAAGCTTTTTTAGTAGAAAAATTTATTAAGTGGTGGGGTGTTATAGTGTGTATAATATATATACAATGTGGTTGGACTTTTAAAATCTCAAAATCTTTTTAATTTATAAATTGAAATCATGTTAAGATTGAAAAATTTCAATATGATGTAAGGTGATTTCAATCAATGAATGATAATGATCATCAAGAAGTAAGTTTTAACTAAAACATTTGAGTCTCAATTGTGTGTAAAATTTTTAACTCAAACAATGGATGGGTGTCCATCTAATAGGGACACTCGGTTATTAAATATAGATAGGATCCATGATTTTTTTTTTTTTTCTTTTATACAATAGATGAACGTCCATTCTAGGTGGACGCCGTCTATATTAAAAGACTCTTATGTATATGTTATTTCTTTGAACAGGAGTCTATTTAAAATAAATGGCCGTCTAATAATCACATACATCGTCCTATTGATAGACACGTTCATTCGCGAAATATTGTTATATGTTATGTTGCTGCATCTACTAGCTAATACGTTCGGTTGCAAAATTTCGATGCAAGTCTTCGGTGTCGTAGCATTATTGTAACAATTACATAGGAGCAGAGAGGTGTTATTTGGTTTTCAACAACAGATGAATATTTAGCTCTATCCAAACTCAAGTCGTTTCGGCTAAAAATGGATTACAGACAGGAGTACAAGAATAGAAGCCACATATTTTTGTGTTGCTTGGAATACGCCCTATGTTATGATAATTCAAGCGGAGCATTGAGCTGAATCAACCAATACTGAAGGAATGTCAGCAAAGAAAGGCATGGTTTTCTGTTGAAGCTCTTGACACTCTTGTGGAGTTGCTGTCTTTGGATTAAAAGGATCACGATCAGGAAGAGTTAACCCTTGTTTAATTCGACCGAGCCGTCGTGAATGTAGCACTTGTTTTGAAGTGACGGGCAATCGAATTGACTGATACTCTTCAAGAGCTGAGAATAAATTCTCCACTCCCCACTTCTCCAAACATTTTCCTAAGACTGCTGCATCTAATATTGACATGTTTGTGCTTCTCAAACCATGAGGTGTTGTCGGGTGAGCAGCATCTCCAATTAGTACCACATTACTCCAAAAAATTTGTTTCAAAGGATCACAATCATATATAGCATTTATGAAGGGTTCTTTTGTTTCTTTCATGACTTTCACCAACTCCGGTGCCCAAACCTTCTCTGCCTCTTGGTGCATATTTTTGATAATGTCATCTCTTACTTTCAAAGTGACTGAATTTCCCTTCACATATTTTCCAATGATATAAATATCAAAACCAGTTGGTTTAGCATCCAGAGTTATATTGAAAGAATCATATAGTAATCAGTATCTATATTTTATCCTCAAGAAGTCCAATTGTCCCAGAAGAACAAGATCGCTTCTATTTAAAATGCAGGAGCAAGTACAGCAGGTGAAAATTACATAATTTTTTCTGATCTCACTAACAATTCTGCAGTTAGATACTTGATATTAGCTAATAATAGGTTCAAGTATCAGCTAAATCTATGTTCTATATTACAAAGCCTAATTGTTTTATATGGCAATAAGTTCAATGAGTTTATACCTGAATCTTTTGTCACACTAAAAGTAAGATCAAATGTAATTATGGCTATGCAATAGAAAATTTGCACAGGAGACAGCAGTAAACACCTACCTTCAGCTCAGGCTCAGCTTGATTGACATACCAAATCCAATTGAGCCTGTTGTTGAGGAGCTCATAAAACACACTGTGAGTTTCAGAACCCAGGTCAAAGTACAAGCATTTCCCAAGGTCAGGGTATGCACTCCGCATGCCCTGGATGATTTCTGAATTCTTATTCCCTGAAAAATCAAGAACTCCTCGCCACGCACAGTAACCTGAATACCTGCAGTAGAATGCTCTCATTATACACGACATAGTTACAGGAATCTAAGTAAAAGTTCTCAATAAGTGTCGGTCACAGACCTCAATTTAAGGTCTGGAAGAAAGCTTTGGCGAATTGAAGAGAGACACCCATCAGCGGCAACAAGAAGATCACTCTCCATCTCTATGATTTCATTGGTTTGAAGAACTTTAGCCTTTACAACAACAGAGGTTTTATATTCAGAAATGGCAAAAGAAAGGTACAGGTGACCCCAAAGGAATATATTGGGTGGCAGCGCATTGAATAAAAGACTATGGAGATCAGCCCAATGTGCTGCTCTGAAATTGAAGTTCTCATCTCTTGCCAGAGTCCACCGAACTTTCTCACCATCCGTTGCTTGGTTCTACAAAAAAATAAAACATAATTACAACAGGAAAATTAATCCAAATTTAACTTTAAACAAGAAGGAATAAAAGAAATTAAATTGTTACAAAAAGTTATGCTCATTCTTCTCGCAGATAATAAAAGAAGTAGCTTCGAATTGTGATCTGGAAATCAAACTCAGTAAATATCTTATAACTCTCTTATAAGTTAAAACAAGTAATTTTTCCTCGCTTTCTAATTATCTCATAAAAGCTCCTTTAATTCAATAGAATAGACTCCGATGCCATTGTTGATGAATATATAAGTATGTCACTTTGATCTGCTACAGATAAATAGAAAAAAGAAAACGACTAATTGATATGGAACCTGATCAATAGTGAGGGGCACAGTGGATTTGTGAAGAAGGTGGGGGCAGTGAGGGAGCCATGAGTGAATAATACGTTGAGCAAGAGGGTCGAGGCCGAGTCCAGCGCCAGTAGGGCTGCCAGTAGGTGGACCGCTAGATTTCTCGAGCAGGACAACATCCCAACCAGCTGAAAGAAGCGAGTGAGCGCATGATACACCTGCTATGCTCCCTCCTACTATTACTGCCTTGCCCTCCTCCTTCTTGTTCCTATTCTCCTCCATATCTGTATTTCTTTCTTCTTTAATCGTGGTAGTGGAGGAAGGAGTTCATGTTGATTTTGAATGAAAACAATTTAGTGGGGAGATGCTGCCATCGCTTTTGCTCGTTGTCGTATCCTTCCATTTTTATAACAACTTCCGGATAATTGAGATAAAAGATGGCGTCAAAATAGTGATTCTACATTTAAGTCGTTCCACTTATCCCCGCGTGCGGACTTAGCTTGAATACCAACAACATGCCCACGAGTTGTGCCCCCTTTTTTTTCTTTTACATTAATCGTTATGAATACAGAATATTAGTGGATGAAAGTCAATAATAGAGGCAAACACTTGCTTCTTCAAAACTTAGATCCGTTTCTGATATATGAAAATCTTAAAGGATATGCCATGTCTCTTCTAACTAATACAAATTCATTGTAAGTATACGCAAATACTAATTGAAAATTAGGTTTCTGGTTTTGTTCATTGCTGTGTTTTATGTACTTGGGATTTTTTTTTTTTTTTTTTTTGGATGACAGAAGTACAAGAATAGAATCCCACATATTGTTCAAGTGTTGGATATGTTATGATAATTCAAGCAGAGCATTGAGCTGAAACAACCAGTATTGAAGGAATTTCAACAAAGAAAGGCATGGTTTCTGTTGAAGCTCTTGACACTATTGTGAAATTGCTGTCTTCGGACTAAACGAATCTCGACCAGGAAGAGTTAACCCCTGTTTAATTCGACCCAGTTGCTGCGAAGGTAGTACTTGTTTTGTAGTGACAGGTCGTAGAATTGACTAATATTCTAAGAGCTGAGAAAAAAATTCTCCACTCCTCACCTCCCACAACATTTTCGTAAGACTGCTACATCTAATATTGACATGTTTGTGCTTCCAGTCCATGAGGTGTTCAGGTGAGCAGCATTTGGTTTCTTTCATCACTTTCCCAACTCCAGAGCCCAAAACTTCTCTGCCTCTTGGTGCTTATTTTTTATAATGTCATCTCTTACTTTCAAAGTGACTGAATTTCCCTGCAGACATTTCCAATAAATAAACGTAAAAATCATTTGATTTAGCATACAAGACTCTATTGTAATATGTATACAGTTCTATTATTTTCTCTGATCTTCTTAACTCAAAGGCTAAAATTATATAAATCTGTGTTCTATTTACCAAATTCCAATTGTTCTTAGCATTCATACTGAAACTTTGGGGCACTAAAAGTAGGATTAATTTTAATCCCATGGCTATTATATAGAAAGTTAATCTGCACGGGATATGGATATGGAATAAGCAATTATCTTCAGATCAGGCTCAGGTTGATTGACATAGCAAATCCAATTAAGCCTTTGTTGAGAAGCTCATAAAACCACTCTGAGTTCCTGAACCCAGCTCAGAGTACAAGCATTTCCCAAGCTCAGGGTACACCCTCCGCATATCTGGATGGTTTCAGAATTCTCATTCCCTGAGTAATCGAGAACCCCAAGCCATGCATAGTAACCTGAATACCTGTAGAAGAATGCAAATCAGACACACTATGCCATTGCAGTAAGTTACTTTGGGTAAGGCAGTGGGACACCGATAACAGATTATTATCAATAACTTTAGAGGGAAAAAAAAAAAAAAAAAAAAAAAAAAAAGCTGTCAATAAATTACAGACCTCAATTTAAGGTCTGGAAGAAAACTTTGGCGAATTAAAGAGCGATAACCATCTGCAGCAACAAGAAGATCAGCCTGTATCTCAATGATCTCATGGTTGAAAAACTTTAGCCTTAACAGTAACAAAGGTTTTATATTCAGAAATGGTGACGAAAGGTACAGGTGACCCAGAGAAATGTATTGGGTTAGTGCATTGTATAAAAGGCTATGGATATCAGCCCAATGTGCTGTCGGAAATTGAAGTTCTCATCTCTTGCCAATGTCCATCTACCTTCTTACTCTGTTGCTTGGTTCTTCAGAAAAAAGAAACAAAAAAAAAAAGAAAAAAGATTTCCTGTCAATGAAGTCCATGTGTTAATAAATTATCTTCCAATCCTGCCAAGAACATCTCATTCTTATTTCTAGTTCACAACAGTGCATCTATTACTTGAATTCTCCTTCTTTACCGATAAAATTTAGATTTTTCTAGCTCCGTGTTTTGAAATAATCTACTAAAAAACTACTTTAATTCAACAGAGTAGATTTCATGTCATGAACTATATGCTGATTGATCAATTTGAGAATGTGAATAGCATAAAAATTGAACACTTTGATATGATAGTGACAAAGAATGAAGAAATGTTAAAACAGAACCTGATCAACTGTGAGAGGCGTATTAAGGCTCCGGAGAAGGTGGGGGGTGTTGTGGGAGCCTCGAGTGAATGATACGGAGAGCCAGAGGGTGGAGGCCAAGCCCAGCACCAGTTGGGCTATCAGTTGGTGGTCCCCTAGATCTCTCGAGAACCACAACATCCCAGCCAGCCGAAAGGAGGGCGTGTGCACATGATAAACCTTCTATGCTCCCTCCCACTATTACTGCTTTCGCTTTCTTCTTCTTCTCCTTCATATTTGGATTTCTGTCTTCATTATTCGCAGTAGTGAAGGAAGGTGTTGCTGATAAGTAAACGACAATTGGATGAAACAAATACGGTGGTGACTGGTGACATGTTACCCGTAGCATCGAGGCTCGGGTGTCCCGAGTTAATAAGACGTGTAGGATGACTTAATCTCCAAAAACACCACCTAGAATTCCTTCAATAAGTTTGAATATGTGATTATGCAAAACAGTATGAGGTCCGAATCATTTGTGGGCCTACATAGGCCCATTGTAAATGGTAAGTGGATGGATCCAAGCTGGTTTTGTTTTGTATTAAACAGAAGCAAATCAAAGTCAAAATGTAACTGTTAACAAAACCCCTCAGACTTAGCCCCCTTTTCCTTCCTCTAAAATCATATTAAATCCGTACAACCCCAAAAACCCTCTTTCTCCCCTCTCTCTCTCTTTCTCTCTCTCTCTGTGCACATTACAGGAAGATTTAAGAGATGGGTGCAGGGCGTGAAGTTACAATATCTCTTGATGGAGTCAGGGACAAGAACGTAATGCAGCTCAAGAAGCTTAACACCGCTCTCTTTCCTGTTCGACTACCAACGGGACAAGTACTATGCTGATGCTCTTGCCTCTGGCGAATTTACCAAACTAGGTTCTATTTTATTCTTTCTCTATAATCCTTTGATTTTTTTTTAAATGTTTATTTTGTTATTTTATGTTTATGCTGCTTTTTTTTTTTTTTTTTTTAAAATATATTATGCCCGGTGTTTTTTTTCTTTTTTTTCTTTTTGAATGTTGTGTTCTTTTAATTACTTAATAGAATATATTCTGGGTCTTGTTTATTGCTGCATTTTACGTATTGGGTTTTTCTTGTTATGACGTTTTAGTTATTTTCTCAATGTTGTTTGCGGCTTTAGCTGTTCGTTTTTCGACTGATTTTCAGGGTATGTGTGGATGCAGACCTGAATAAGAAATGTGATAATGTAGGTGTATTATGGAAATAAGGGATTCCAATATATCATATTTTCATCCACCTTTAAATACTTGCTCATTAGTCAGCCTCACCTTTTTTCCTTGAACTCTAATGAATTCAGTTATTCCTTTATCTTCATTTGTGTACATGGGAGAATCTTACTCAACTACTGTTTGAATTTTGAATTTTACAGCCAATGCAAGTTCTTACAAATGTGTTTAATTGGTTTCGTACCCTCATTCTTGGTATATTAATTTCTAAAGCTTTTGTTTATTTGACCGTGTAGTCGTACAATCCAGCTCCAAATGGTGTATTGTGTCAATTAGTATAATGGTAAATAGTAATTCTATGAGAATTGCCTGCCTATCCTTAAATTTCAAGAAAACAATATCACTTTTAATTTAGTAATTCCTATTCTTGCCTAGAAAAAAGTGATTCTGGTCTACTAATGAATATCTTTCGTTTTGTTTTTAATCTCCTTTTAAGCTATTCTGTTTTAGGCTATCTGCCCGAATCTGAATTCAAATTCCATGCAGACAATTTCTCATTCTCAATTGCAGAATTTTCTGTCAACTAAGCATGTGGGTCCTGTGTGTCCATATCTATAGAGATTCCAAATCTGTTCATTGTAATCAAAAAAAGGTGCAGAAGAATATATATATTGCATTGTTTTCTTATACATTCAGTTGTGAGCGCAAATGTGTTTGAAAGTAGTTTTGAGTACTTATATTAGTGGTCTGTTTATCTTATGTACTTCTATACTATGTAAAACATACCCATGAGGCCTTTGGTTAGAACTTTTACGGCCTCATTATTTTCTTTTTCATTTGATATATTACAGAGCATTGATATTCAGAAACAGATATTGGATGGTTTGTTAGTGTCGTTGGATGGATTATAGTGGGCAACTCTCAATTGATCTTCCTTAAAAGAGCCCATATAGTATTAATGTGTAGGTAGTTCTTGAAGCACATTTTTTTTAACATTATTTGTATCTATGCCTGCATGATTAGGCTTGCTATCTCCAATTCTTTTTCTTTCTGTTAGTGAATCACCTTTGTGGCTATCCATAGGTTCTTTCTTTTCCTGACACTTGACTACTTTTCTTGCTCACTCAGCATATTATAGCGACATCTGCGTTGGTTCAATTGCATGCCGGCTGGAGAAGAAGGAAGGTGGGAACATTTGTGTTTACATCATGACATTGGGTGTTTTAGCACCATATCGTGGGCTAGGCATTGGTAAGCAAACACTTAAATTTTTTTCTTAGTATAGTTCTTATATGAGGATTGTTTGAGAAAACCTTGTATGAACAATTGATGATTATGTCTGCCAGAACAGAGAACAGTTTGGGGTGTTTGGAATTTGTCTACTTTAACAAACTTTGGAGGCCAGTAATGTATCTTGATCTGGATGATGCTTGGCAGATTATGTATTTTATTTTCCCCTTGTTTCTGTTACAACATTTGAGGATTACCTTTTATGCTGCAGAGTCTGTGTTTGACAAAGACCTGATTATAATAACTGGAAACACATATAACTTGAAGTTTATTTTCATCAAATTTTTCATTCCATTCAGTCAGCGAGCCAAGCTTGGGCTGAAAAAAGTTTCATATAACCAGGTTTTTATCTGAATTTTTGGATTTTTGCAGGTACAAAGCTATTGAACCATGTTCTTGATCTCTGTTCCAAGCAAAATATATTGGAGGTTTACTTGCATGTGCAGACGAACAATGAAGAAGCTATCAACTTCTATAAGAAATTTGGGTTTGAAATCACAGACACCATCCAGAACTATTATACAAACATTACCCCACCAGACTGCTATGTTCTTACAAAGTTCATTACTCAACCTCAAGCAAAGAAATAACAGTCAAAAGCAGTTAACAGTGTGCAAGTCCTGGTTTATTGTTGTCATATTTAAACTTTACCTTGCACCAATTATACTCGGAGTTTTAGTATCACATTGTTGAGGTTATACGAATGCTAGAATGCGTAGATGAGTTGAATTATTTTACAGTTTGTCTACTGTTTTTGATGCACAAAAATTTTGTTATTGATTGGATCAGTTATAAACTATTGAAGTTTAGTCCGGAGACTGGATAAGAGTTTTGTGTAATTTCATGAAGCAAGCAATTGTTGGATATGGTGATTGGGAATTTTAAATTTTTTATCTAGTTACTTAACTACAGTCTGTAGTTGGCCTTAACTAATAGCCCAGTTAGTTTAGAAAATGCTTCCCCCTCGTATGTTAGGTTGAACTGAATCGAACAGGCTGATTACCAGAGAAGGCAAAGAGTTAACTTTTATGATTTCTTGTGATACCTCTAATTAACACAAACTTTAATAATCATCAGTCACCAGCTAATTTCGGTTGTCCTGCTTAAGAGATTAAATGGTCGTTCATTATACTGCTCTTTCTTATAGTTATTTCCAAAGATTCATCGACAAGGTGGAGGGAAAGTGATTGATCATGGTAGTTTTATGGCAAGAATGAAAATGGAGCTTCGGAATTTGGGGTGCTATGTAGAGTTAGGAGTTCGAATTTAAAGGATATTGTTGGACACAACTTGTGCCTTGTTATGTTGGCAAGGGAAAATCAATAACATTGAATGGAGTTTCCAGAGAAAGGCTTTCCTATTCGGATTTTGATGCCTGCAAATAAGCATACTGGAAATTGGTGTTTTAAAATGAATTATGCTGGCAAACTAAAAAGAAATATAGATAGAGTTGATGTTAGCAAACCAAACTGATCCATGGCTCCATACATATTATGATACAGGTTTACACGCAACTTTCGTTGATTGAATCATGATTTGGTAAGTTCAAAATTAAATTATTAAACAGTGAACGAGAGAACTGCGTAACTATCAAAAGTTTTCGGCATCTATACTAGGCTATGGCCAGAGTGAGTTTGCGACCAACAAGACATAAATTAGACTAGTACAATGAATAAATAATTAGTTGGGAAAACAATTTAACTAAAGAAAAGCACATGAAAGAACTTGAACGACAAAAAGAAACACATGCCAGAGGAGCAAAAGAGAAAGAAATATATGCAGCAGCTTTATATGTACAGGGTTTACTTTACATACGTTAATCAGCCTCGTTACAATAAACATGCAACATTTTATTACAGCATGTACATAATTCTAACATTGTGAGTGAACAAATAATGTCATGCTTCTACAACAGGGTATTAATGTCACCGAGATCCACCATATCATAGATACCATCAATTCAGTAAGCCAACCCACCAGCAAAGGTATCTCCATCATGAAGTAAGCTCTCGGTCAACCAGTAACCATCCCATGAACCACCAACCCTCTGCCAAAAATAAGCCACAAATTAGCATTGGTACAAAGTGATGGTTCAAATCTGAAATGGAAAACTATTAATCATATAACAAATGACATGCTTTTGAGAAAAATTCAACTAGATCTGATACTATAACTACATCCAATGTTTTCGATACTGACTCGGTATGCACATAACAAGCAACCACTAGTATTTGTGTCTGCATCATGGGTTTCAGGTTCTCAATTAAACATATGCATTGCATATATAGATATAGGAATTATTCCCAAAGAAGTTGTAGGCTCTCTTCAACTGAGAACTGAGTGTATAATTATCACTCTAAAGTTAGTGGTCCAGTATCACCAAAGCAGCAATCTAAAAGCAAGTTCAAATATTTCAAGCTTCCAATTCTGCAAGAGTCTTAGATAGAAATGTTCCAGGTGCAACAAAGAAATGCCGCTACTATTTCTTTACAATGATGACGATTGTAAAGGAAGGTGTAATGTTCACACCTGAACCATGGTAAACTGAAATATTTCTTCTTCCTCAGGGCGACTTCCTCTGACCCAAAACCGCTGCTTGAATCGGTTCTGTTTTGCAGTACAAAAACCATTATAGCAGATGTATTACAACTCAGATTAACTGTTTCAAACAATAAGAACTACATCACACATATCTGTTGGCCACCACCCTTCAAAGTCCAAGCTCAACTCATTCATATTTAATTGCAAGCAATACATACCTCCTTCACAAACAAACTACTCAAGATCTTCCTCTCCTTGTGACCAAGTAATACTCGATAAGTTGAATGGTGAAATATCCGTCTAAATCGCTCAAACTGATTTGCCAACAAACATCAAGCAAACAAAATCTATAAGCATAAATGGCATGGCATCCAAAATGCATTAGTTAAAAAAAAAAAGAAAAAAAAAATAGAAAATCTGCATTGACTGACCTGCCCCAAATCAAAGGAGGGCCCAAAGTACAGGGACCTTTCGAAAGGATCGAATCCAGCAAACTGTCAAAGAGAGCGAAAAAAAAAAAAAAAACAAGTTTTTAAAAAGCTAACTCAATTTTCCCCAATGTGTCATAAAACAGTTAAAATAAAACAGAGCACCACGTAATGGGATTAGAAATTACCCTATACAGAACCTCGATGCCATAGTCTTGACGGGGTTGATCATTGTATTTCAATGCATCAAGCTGGAATTGAACAGCTTCTTCTGCACTAAACTATAACCAGAGTTTAATTTTGATTGACATAATATAGAGAAACTATATTCTTGTCTGATGATCATTTGCATATTCAAGAATTTACATTTAGTCTTGGCCCAAAAGGTCTTTTCCTGCGAGATTCAAGCCTGGAATACACACAAAGACAAATCCTACTCAGAATAAGAGTATGAAACCAAACCACAGAGCTAACACAAAACTTTTCCGTCTGAATCCTTATTGATACAACAATCATTATTTAGAATAATCCCTTGCTTAACCTAAAATTAAGACTGTGAAAAGCAGTCCTAAAGAACTACTACGTTTACAACAATCTTCAAAATAAAAATAAAAATCCTTGAACAAGACTACTTTCATACCATAAAGGAAAAAAAAAATTGCATACCAATCAGCAGAGAGAAAATCTGGAACATCAGCTGAAGCTTTAAAGCGGGAGCTAACAGAAACAGTTACAGGTTTGGATTTGGAGAAGAGAGATATAGACTGTGGAGTTGAAAAAGAGGAAATAAACGACATCGTTTTTTCACCTCAAACAATTCACACTTCTCTCCCTTCCCCGCCAGTAATTATTGGTGTTTGTTTGAGGATGAGGCTAAGGGGTACGATTGTGCATTTTTTATATTCGATCCAGACCGTCTGATAAGATGACAATCGAAAGTATTAACATCTGACGGTATATAAAAACAGTATTAGTCATTTAGACACACGCGACCGACAAAGAGCGTGCTCAACGCGCTTTCTTTCTCATCAGTGTCATCACTGCGACTCCATGAGCCGTTCTTCTCGTTTCCAATTCGTCGCCACCATGTCGTATCGCTCTGCTGTTGTCTCTCATTGTCTTTTTCTCTCTGTTTACATGCCTTTCATGCGTAATAAAAGCGTCTCAATCTTGATACAAGTTTTTATTTTATGTTTTAGAGAAGAGGACGTGGTAGAAACCAGAGTAGAAGCTTTTCAGATGGATCTAACAACGGATGGAGAGGACAGTTCGTTACTGGAGACTCGCACATCCGTTCCGTCCGTGACTCTAACCTTAGCCACCGTCAAGGAAGCTTCTCCAACCAGCCACTTCAGCAACCGCCGCCGTTCAATCCAAACCAACAGTATCGTTATCCTCCTCCACAGTCTAATCAAAATCAACAGTTACGTTATCCTCCTCCACCGTTTTACCAAAATCAACAGTCCCGTTATCCTCCTCCACCGTTTTACCAAAATCAACAGTCCCGTTATCCTCCTCCACCGCTTTACCAAAATCAACAGTCCCGTTATCCTCCTCCACCGTTTTACCAAAATCAACAGTCCCGTTATCCTCCTCCACCGTTTTACCAAAATCAACAGCCCCGTTATCCTCGTCCATCGTTTAATCAAAATCAAGCAGTGCGGCCCCACCGTCCCAAGCCATTGGATTATCGGACATGGGAGTACGCCAAGGTGCCGCTGCCTCCTAACTCTGGTAATTCTTTACTTACTTTTTCATTGTCGTAATTTGAATTTGGAAAAAAAGTTCTTTGTTTTTCGACTGCTTTTTTTTTTTTTTTTTTTTTTTTTAATGATTAGTATTGTTTTTGTTTTTGTAATAGTATTTCAAAAGCATAGTTAATTGGGTTGGTGACTTTGTTTTTGTTGTTTACCTGACAGAGCGATTTGTAATTCTCTCGTATAATTTACTGGCTGACTAACTTGCTATTGATCACCGGGGCAAACTTTACTATCCATACCGCGTCAAAGCTAGACTGGGAGTGGAGGAAGAGAAGTATAATGTTGAACTGGATTATGGTCGGCTGACATTATGTGTTTTCAGGTTATAAATCTGCACTTCATGAAGACCATGTATCTTTGCCTTATTGCAGCTTTTTCTTTTTTGCAATTTTCTTTGTTCTGTTGTAAACTTATCTAACTTGAATTATTTTACCTGTTAATGTTAATGATTTTGATTCTACATGATTTTGTGGTTTCTATTTTGTTTCAAATAAGTGTATATCAATTTTTTTTTTTTTTTTTAATAATGAACAGTTTGTAATTCTTTTTTTTAATTTTTTTCAGGAGGTTGATAAATTTCAAGACTTAGAGTCAGAGTTGAGGCTTCGAGGGTACAGTGGCATTTGGAAGGTGAGTTTTGAAATGCCATTTTTATCTGGAGTTATATTCTTGTTTATTTTTTAAAAACGCAATGATGTTTGTTGACACTATTTCAAGAATTATGTAGTCTGATATAGGAGTAGGGGAATTTGATACTTTCATTTTCAGCTTTAGCTTAGACACTAATCGTAACAGTCCAATAATTTAATCTATTTTAAGGAGCAGGAAAAATAACATTTTTGTTGAGAATTAAAGTGTAACTTTGTTTTAGTTTTCTATAGATGCGGACTGGCAATGCCATTGATGGATGTGCAATCTTTTGGCGAACATCAAGGTAATCATTTCCTCAATTTTGCATGCCTTTGATTTTGTGAACTGTTCAATATCCATGGAAGGTCTAGTTTGCTATACTGCTAGTGATCAATGGCCAGATTTGTTTGTTCATTATGCTAATTATTTGAAACAGGAGGTTGGCTGTCTTCCTATTGTTGCAAGTCTTGTTCAATTTGACAGTACTTGGCTTACTTCTATCATTTAGTTTGCTTGATTCATGCAAACGCTTACTTGGAATATATAGTCTCTTTCTTTCAACTTCCACCCTGACTCATGATGAGATGTTGACATTTTGTACAGCAAAGTCGTGGTTTAGTAGTCCTAAAGTGCCCCCTGGGTGAAGCTAGACTGAAGGTTTGTAGTTATGTGGCCCTTTGGGTTATGGAAGTTCCTGCTTAATAGAGGCAGTTGAAATCAGTGATAACCTCTTATAATGGCTAATTATATGAGGATATCTTTGGTATCTATCTTTTATATCTCTCTTGAAACTTGCTCATCCCTCCTTGTTTGATATTAGTAATAACATCCAATATTTATAAGGACTTTTTTGTTCTACTGTAGGTAATGTCTTAAATTTAGTCCCCATAATACAGGATAGAGATGTACTTCTAGTTAGTATTTGGCTGCATATGTTTAATTATATTTTCTTTTTTCTTTTTCCTCTTGGTTTCTACTGGTCTCAAGATTTCAAATTATTATATTTGAATTCACTTATGATGTTGCTCTCATATTTCTTTTAAGCAAATTTAATTGTTAATGTAGTCTGAAAGTTCATTTAATGATCTGTGTATTAGATTCAAGTTGCTGTATGAGGAATCCATCGAGTATAATAAGCTCGGACTTCGGGATAATGTTGCTCAGATATGTGTGCTTGAGGTATATCAAGACTTATTATCTTGAAAACCTACTAGGATTCACCTACTGTAAATATGTAATTTCTAGATGGTTTCTTCTTGAATTTCTTGAATTTTATTGTTTGGTATGATTAGTTTTTATGAAGTTCATTTTTTTTTTTTTTTGGTTGAACAGATGTTGGGTCAAGATTTCAATAAAAATGGACCGCCTCTCTCAACAAGGTAACTTAAGAAATTAGTAAAAAACTTGTTTTTAGATAACATGTTTAATCTTTTCATAATTTGGTATAGAAGTATCACAAACATCTTTTTGTTTTTTTTCACAATAGCTGATGTGAGCATTGCTGGCGAAAGTATATAATTAATAAACATGTATATGTAATATCCACGACTATGTAAAAGTTGTTCTTCTCCATTGATATCCATAATATCAAACATCATTGTTATGATGAGTGATAATGATTGCAGTTTGATGGTAAAATGAAATGTTAACATCTATGATTTTGATCTGTTTTAAGTAATTGCTAATCATATGTATTAAATGTTAAACCCATGCTTAATTCAATAGGTAAAGAACTTCCAACTGATGTTTCTAGGCGTATTTGCTTCTTCATCTTAATCCATTATTTCGTTTTGGAATTAATTTTGAATTGTTACTTCTTTAAAAACTTCGCTTCATATACATCATAAGATTGATTTGGTAGATTTCAAGACAACTCAATCATGGTGATCTATTTGATTGTGAAACATTAAAGATGAAAACATATAGGGGTTAGTCTCATTGAAAGTACTGTTCAAATGTTACTGTGATACCATTTCATTAGTTTATACTCTGTATCTGCAGTTCGGCAGGTTCTAGTAAAGTTGTCGTCTGTAACATTCATGTGCTTTACAATCCCAAAAGAGGGGAAATTAAGCTTGGCCAGGTATGGACTGGACTCACACCTACATCTATATCAGTTAAACAAGGTGATTTTGCCTTAACTATCATGTCAATATATCTTCTATAGGTTAGGACGCTTTTGGATAAGGCTTCTGCTGTTTCGAAGATTTGGAATGATGCTCCAGTTCTTCTTTGTGGGGATTTTAATTGTACACCAAAGGTGAATAACTTTTTTCACAAGTTAAGCTTCAGTTAGCATTATTTAATGGGAAATGTCTTTTTAATTTATTGATATATCCGTAATTCTTTTATAGAATCTTTGAGTTCAATGCCCTAACCGAAACATTTTTGTTTTTGTAACAGAGTCCACTATACAACTTTATTTCAGAGCAGAAGGTAAAACATTTTGTTTTCTGTATATACTTTGTTTCAATGATTGAGACAGTAGGAATTCAAATTATACTTTGTCCGCTTCAGTTAGATTTGTCTGGAGTAGATAGAGATAAGGTGTCAGGACAAGCTTCTGCTCAAATTCGTTCATGGAAGCCATATAATGCTAATCCGAGGTGGGGTTTGTAAAAGTGAGATAAGCTTTGTGTCTGTTGTGTGCTTCAGTTGTTGAAGCTAATAAGCTTCCAAAATATGTAGGGTCCAGCCTGCTGATGGTTCAATACAAGCTCGACCAGTGGTAGGTGAGGGGGAAGTTGGTATCAAGATGAGTGATCCTCTCTCTGGCATGCAGAAGAACAATGAATATGGCAATGCTGAAAATACTCCTTTTTTAAACAACTTGCCTCTATCTCAGTCCATTGACACATTGCCAAATGTTTCTGATAAGGCTTGCAGCAATATGCTATGCATGAATGAGGAGAGTACCCTCAGTGATGTGGCGGCAAATGAAACTGAGCAGACTGTGGTAGATGGTTTCAAGGAAAGTTCAAGCTGTCTTCACAGTGAAGATCAGTTTCCTGCTGATAAACATTGCAGTAATGATGAGATCCATAAATTTTCTCATTCCAGGCCGTCCCATCTTGAAGATAAATCTGATTTAACTGAGATGGGAGACAAAGAAAAAGCAAATGCCTCCTCACATCTAAATCATGGATCATCAAGTGAACATTCTGCCTCAGATATAATAATAGAAAGTGATAGATCTTGTGATGACTCTAAACTCGCCCTTGTGGTTAATGATCATAGTAGCAGGGTTGAATGTAGTCCCGAAGTCATGAGAGCTTCCAACTCTGAAATTCTGTCTCTGTCAAGTATTGGTGTAAAACAGGTTAGCTGTTCAACTTCAGATCAGCCTGACATCTCAGGTTCTCCTACTGTTGACTCTCTAGCATCTGTTGAACTGGAGAATCTGTTGGTGAGAAACTTAGATGAAGCAGCTGATAAACTGGAGAATCTATCTATAAGAACCCCAGATGAAGCTGCTGATAAACTGGAGAATCTATCTATGGGAAATCTAGATGAAGCTGAAATAGGTGGAAATATAGATGAAGCTGAAATAGGTGGAAATATAGATGAAGATGACACGACATTTTTATCTAAATTACACAACAATGAAGATGCCTTTCCTTCTAGTTCTGATCAGTTTGTAGGATCTACCTTGGGTGCTTCGTCCGAGGAACTTGGTGATGAAGTTCTCCATAATACTTCTCCTGCCTTGGGTTCTGAGGCTGTTGATGTGGAGAATGTGGAGAATGTAGCTTACGATCCATCATTGTGGACTCCAAAGGAAATAGCAGCTGCAACAGGCAATGAAGACTGCACCTTTCTGGAACACCCTCTACAGCTTAAAAGCACTTATACAGAAGTGGAGGTAGATCAGTGTTGAGCTTTTACTTTTTTCAGATCTTGCAGTTTTTAGCCTTCACACATTCTTAATTACTTTAAAGGAAAGCAAAATCCCAATTTTAATATTTTTTTTTCAACTGTTTAGGATTGTACAGGGGCAAGGGATTCTAACGGAGAGCCCTTGGTGACCAGTTACAATAGGTGTTTCATGGGCACAGTTGATTACATATGGTAAGTTCTTTTTTAAGTTTCTACTCTTTATTAGTTCGGGATGATGAACTAAAATATGTTGTTCGATTTTACATTTGTTACATAGGTATGTGAACACATCAAATTTTTGGTTTTTAGATTGAACTTTACAAATTAAAGTTTATTTTAGAATTTGACTTCACATTCAGGCGTTCTAGTGGTATCCAGACTGTCAGAGTGCTTGCTCCAATACCAAAACATGCTATGCAGTGGACCCCCGGATTCCCAACAAAGGTAATAATGGGTGTTCTAAAATTTGAGGTCCTTTTTAAAAGGTTCAGAAAATTTGCATTGCTCTTCTAAATTCAGCAATCTATTCTAGGCCTTATGATATTCTAAAATTGAATACATCTGTGGCTATCTTTTTCAGAAATGGGGCAGTGATCACATTGCCTTGGCTTCTGAAGTAGCAATCGTGAAAGATTGACAGATCATATTCATAATGCTGCTGTTTGGTTGCAAGATAACTTGTGGCATTTGTCAACTACTAAAAGGGTTTAGAGATGCCCATCGGATCCCTCGACATTCATCTATGTTGTGTCTTCCAAGGTCATGCATCTCATGGAAAGTCCACAGGTTTCCTTCCAACAAATAATTTAGTTATTCAGTCTCTTGTACAATTTTTGTAATGTTATGTTGCTTAGTTAATTTGAAATTTTGATCAACATAATTTTAATTGGATCCTTAATCCACTTTGCTCTTACTAAGAGTAAAATATCCAATCAGTAAGAAGATTTTTCTTTTTCGACAAATGTGTGGAAGAGATTATTAGTCATATTCATTTCTTTTATCAACCATAGTTGTAGAACTGCTGTTATCTAATTTAAAGTGGGCGCAAAAAATTGATCATTGATGGTTTATAATATCCGGAGGCTGCTCTTTTCATCCATTATGTGACTTGAGAAGTTGGTTTGGTTTTAAAACAAAGGTTTTTTGATGCCTAATTACTTCAATGGTTTTATCTTTTCAACAGTTTCCCAGTTCACTTTTACCCTTTAAAGGAGTCGTCGTTCAGGATATTCACAGTTGGATGAACTTTTAACATGGATCATTTGACAGGTTGTCAAAGGCAGTAACAGTGAAATCCAGAAATGGTAGCATGTGATTCAACTAGAACAACTTTCTTCTGACTGGCTCTAATTTCAACATGAAAAAACTTTCTGGTGATTTCATAAACATTTTACCTCTTCTTTGTCTTCAAGGTCTCCAACAGCTTTTTCTCTTTCTCTAATTTATTTTGCTGGGCCATCTAACAACAGAAACCCATTGGTCCATCTAACAACAGAAACCCATTGGTCCATCATCTCTCTCTCTCTCTCAGTAATTTCTTTAATGTTTTCTGTTTGGATTTTCTGTCTAATGCCACAGTATTCTTGTCGCTGGCTCGCTGCCAGTTAGTAGTAAAGACGACGGGATTAGAAAAAATATTAATCAATCAATTAATTTGAAATAGCGTTGGTTGCCGTGTGGCGTCAACATCTTGCGGATTTACAGAATGCCCGTGAGCCCACATAAAACTTATATTCGGCTGTGGTTGCTAAGTTCCCTCAAGGGACTACTTGCTATAAAACTTCATATTTGGCTTCGGATTTTACAGGCGTTTTCTTAAAGCTTGAACTCAATATGGAATAACTGCCATGAACTCATTAAATATATATCCCCCTCAAGGGAAAGCACCGAATTTTCATCTTTTACCATCTCTGCAATTTTTAGGTTATTACTATTCTTAGTTTTTATGAGTCGCGTCGTAGAGACAGAATCATATAGTTAACGCATCAGCCTGTTCGGCTCTTTGCCAGTTTGGCTTGGGCCGGCAAAGCTTCATGTTACTGTCACATCTAGATCCAATAATGAGTCCCGTGACAGTATCTTTACCTAGGCTGAACGACATGCATCATAAAGACAATTTGATACCAAAAGGTTTAAAATGATAATTACCCACTTTTTGTCCAAATCGGTTAATAATTTTATATTCATTAATTTAAATTAATCTTTTATTTATTATTTCATTTTTCTCTTCTCTCTCTTATCATCTTCTTATGTCTCCCTTCTCTTTCTTTCTATTCTCCGTCTTTTTCCTCCTCCCCTCTTTTACTTTCTTTCCCTCTTTCCCTTCTTTCTTTCCTTCTCTCCGTCTTTTCCCTCCTCCCTTCTCTTTTTTCCTTTTCTTCCCTTTTTCCTTCTCTTTCTTCTTTCTCATCGTCTTTTTCTTTACCTTTAAACAACAATCTTGCTCCTTCGGCTCCAGACCAGTCTCTTGGGCGAGAACCCTTTTCAAATCCCCTTCCATTGAACAAATATACCCATTGAACATCAATTTCAAAATGTCTATAATTCAAAGCTGTAGCCTAGCCTATCCCACCAATTAAGTACTTAAATTCTCATATCATTTTCTTTTAGAAAAGAGGAAATTCAATGAGATAATAATTATAAACATTGTAGCTATTGGGACAATAAAATTCACAGAACATATAATAATCAGGAAAAAAAAAACACAGAAGATAAAAATTACAAACTCAAAAAAGATAAGGGGAGGAGAGAAAAGACGGAGAAAAGGAAAGAAAGAGAGGAAAAGAGGGAGAAGAAAAGTAAAAAAGAGAAGGGAGGAGGAAAAAGACGGAGAATAAGAAAGAAAGAAAGAGAAGGGAGAGATGAAGAAGAAGATCAGAGAGATGAGAAAAATGAAATTAAAAAATTAGGGTATAGATTAATTTAAAATAATAGATATAAAATTACTATATTGTCCTTAGTTAAAGAATTTACAAACAGATTTGGATAGAAAGTGGGTAATTACATTTTCAAACCTTTTTAGTACCAAATTGTTGTTATGGCAAACTATGGGTGGGTGTATGTCGTTCCGTCTACTATCTATAGAACACATAGTTCGCTCTACTATCTATAGAACACATATATGATATAACAGTTACACTATTTTCTCCCACAATATCAATAACAATAATGTTATGCTACTCACGAGTTTACTAATTGTCTTACTAATTTGTTAAATTATATATGTACCCGTACTATGCGTATAGTATTCGTATTATGCGTTATATTTACAAAAGATAGTAAGACTGTGAGTAAACATGATATTTCTCCCAACACCCCTGAAAGTCGCGAACTGACACTAGACCCTCAATTATATATTTTGGCTGTTAAATCTAACTAGGTGTAAAACAGACTTTTACGTGTTAGACTAAAAAATTAAGGTAAAAATTGAAAGAATTTAAAAATAAAATCTAAAACTAAAAGAATTTACTTTAAAAAATTATAAATAAAATAATAAAAAAATGAAACAAATAATGAAAATAAAAACTTGAAGAGTTAAAAAAAATACTCTAAAACATTGAAAGAAAATCTGAAGAATTATTTAAAAATTTGAAAAAATAAAATATCAAATAGTGAATTTTTAAATAATTTTTGAAAAATTAAAATGAATGAAAAAAAAAGAACTAATAATGTAAAAAATAAAAAAATATAATCAAAGTGCAAAATTAATTTGCAAAACTGAAAAAAATGAATATATGATTCTTGAGAAATTAAAAAATAAGTTAAACCGTAATTTTATTTAGATATTTAATTTTGTGATTTAGGGTTCATATTTTTTCATTATTTTGTATTTTTTCTTATTATATAATTAAAGGTTAAGGGTTGCAGCAGCTTAAGGGCAAATCAGACATAACTGGTCAAGAGAGTCAATCATCCACCTTCACAATTAAAACTAACGGCAAAGGGTGTGTATGGTAGTTTATGATAATTGCCAATTGGGGGTTCTGCGTATATTAACTCAAAATAAAATAATAAATATCAGGCAAGGAAGTCTGAAAATAAAATAGATAAGCATTGATTCTAACTGGACCATTCATTGGGCACCAGCCTGCACAATTTTATATATATTCCTTGTAAGTGGCCAACCTGAGCGTTTCACGCACATATACACCTTTTTCTAAAGAATTGAAAATCATGTCCATTGATTTCTCAGGCAATAACAAGGCAATCTCTGCCCAGATTTCACATTCAGGTTTGCTTTCTATCTGGATTTCACTTTAAATCAACATTTTTAATTGGTCTCTGTATTGTATGTATTGTAATGAAAAATATCACTGTTTGTTTTCTTCTATTTCCGTCGACTTAAATTAATTATTTTGTTCAGGAAGAAAACCTCTGTATAGCATACTAATATTAAATGAACAAGTATTTATTGCAGAACAGCAAAGCATCTTGCTTTGTGTGATTTCTGACTAAAGGCATCTCATTTTTGCAGGATTTTTCGCTCCTTTAACCTGCATTTTCTGATTGTGTTTCTTAAGTTCATATTTTGATCTATTTTTTTCTGATGAAATAAACCGTTTGTGAAATACCCTTGTATCAGTCTCTGAGATCCTCAAAACCCAATTTCCACTTTTATTATAATCCACTTTAGTCAAAATCCCGGAAATTCTCATCCTCTTCAAGTTCTTCCTTTTGTTAATTTGATCTGTTTTGAGTTCCCACAAAAATGTCTGAATCAAATCCAAATACACCTGATCCAACCTTCATCTTCGCAAACTTCCTGATTTCAAACAATCTGTGAAACTGAAAATGTAAAACTTGGCTACCATTATGTTATCACTCATGGGATGTATCTATGTTTAACAACTCTGTTCTATAGCTGCACAACTGTCTACGTTCTCAATTCAAGATATCTATGTCCTGGGACCTCTTAGGTTCAATCTCGTTTCTGTGGTCTTATGCTCCACCCTTTAGTGTTTCTATCGACCGTTTACTTTTTAACTCGTCCCCAACCTGTTATCTTGTGAATTTTGCATGTTATAAGCCAGAAGATGCTAGGAAAGCCCTAGCAGATTTTCATGGAAAGATCTCGTTTAACGGGACTTTCACTGAGCAAAATCTTGGTTTCAAAAGAAAATCTTGAGAGGTCAGGCCTTGGAGAGTAACTACCTCCCAGAGGCGTTTTGAGAGTTCTCCTCCCCCTTGTATGGCGGAGGCAAGAAAAGAAGCTGAGACTGTAATGTTTGGTGCACTTGATGAGTTATTTGAGAAAACTCTTTGAAACCAAAAGATATTGGGATCTTGATTGTAAATTGTAGCTTGTTTAATCCAACACCTTCTTTGTCTGCAATGGTTATTAATCATACAAGCTTAGAGGGAATATTATTAGTTATAATCTCGTGGAATGGGTTGTAGTGCTGGTTTGATCTCGATTGATCTTGCCAAAGATCTTCTTCAAGTGCATCCAAATTCATATGCTTTGGTCATTAGCATGAAAACATAACGTTGAATTGGTATTTTGGGAATGAGAGGTCGATGCTTGTCTCAAATTGCTTGTTTAGAATGGGTGGAGCTGCTATATTACTTTCAAACAAGAGGTCTGATCGGTGGCGATCCAAGTATAGTTTGGTCCATACTGTTAGAACACACAAGGTTCTGATGATAAGTGCTTCTTTGTGTTACTCAGCAAGAGGATCCTACGGGAAGGATTGGAGTGTCTTTGTCGAAGGATCTGATGGCAGTCGCTGGAGATGCCTGAAGAACTAATATCACTACCTGGGCCCTCTGTGTTGCCAATGTCTGAACAGTTTCTCTTCTTTGCCACGTGGTCGGAGGAAACTTTTCAAGATGAAAATTAAGCCTTACATTCCAGATTTTAAGGCTTTTGAGCATTTCTGCATTCATGCTGGAGGAAGAGCTGTGCTGGATGAGTTGGAAAAGAACTTGCAGCTTTCGGATGGCATATGGAACCTTCAAGGATGACACTTTATAGATTTGGTAACACTTCAAGCAGCTCTCTCTGGTATGAATTGGCCTACTCAGAAGCCAAGGGGAGAGTTAAGAGGGGAGACAGGCATGGCAGATAGCATTTGGATCCGGATTCAAGTGTAACAGTGCAGGTTGGAAGGCTCTGAGGACGAAAATCCAGTAAGGAGAAAAACCAGGATGGATGAGATCAACAGTTCCCAGTGATGTTCCAAAGGTTGCAGTCACTAAAGTTGTAGTAGTTATTACATTCCCAGTTTCATTTGTGTGATGCTGGTGGTGACTGCAGCTTGTGATGATTAAAAGATGATAGCATCCAGGTTGCTTCTATATTGCAAGCTTTATGGTGTGTTCAGTCTAGTGTAGGTAAATGCTAGTGTTCAAAAAAAATTAGGACATTTTTCTGATGGTTTTACTGTAGCATTTGGTTGGTGTCACTTATTTCTAGTGAGGAGATGGATCGTGGGAAACTATGATTTTCTAGCAATTTACTAGGACTTTCCTGAGCTAGGACCAGAGAAGAACGCTGTTCGTTTCAGATTGACAAGTTGTCTGGGATTTTTATGGAGAAGAGAATGCTACATTTCTCTTGCTTCTGATAATTGATTGATGTTTCTCATTATACCAGATTCATCAATTTCAGAAATTCTATCACAAGTTGCTGTGCTGTTGGTCTTTATTCATTTATCATAACTCAGAAATTTTGTCACAAATAGTTCATCTCCATGCCGATTAGAAAGATAAACATTCATCCGAATCATATATTTCTTATGTGCCCAGAACGAGCCATTTGGTTCTAATTCGAAATCTGCAATTTAATAATAAATAATATGTAACTTATTAACTATTAGAAGACAAATAGATTATACAGTTTGTTCAGATTCAGATAGTCATCATGATATTTATTTTTAGGCATTTGAATGTCAATTTAAATGTCCAATTGGGACTACTTATTTGGTAGGATGCCAAATGGAACCGATTAGGCTTCAATTTATGAGTCCAATTTACGTAATTAAGACTTCTTTGTATGTCTGCCATATATTACAGCTAGCCTATTGCATAAAAATGTTTGGCATTTGTTCTAGAAAGTACTTTCGTAATGATAATCAATTTTAGAAAAATACTTGAATTAATCATGAGCAAAGGACAGTTCCCACCAAGGTTTAGCATAATGGCAAGTCCCTAACCTCTGGTTTCATAAATTTCATATTCTCACCCTTAAATTAATAAAAAATTGTTTAATATAAGCTTAAAGAATAATACGATCATTCCAAACTTAGTTCTCATACACCACTCACCACATTGCCAACACGCGTTGGCCATTTTCTGTGGATCCCTACTAGATTTCTCACCAAATCGACAAGATTCATCACCAACCAACAACAACAAACTTCATCACACAACCAAACAATCAATCACGAAATCAAAAGAAAAAAAACCTGAAAACTTGCAACTATAGTCGCGTGCAAGTTTCTCTCCACCTTTGCCTCCACCCCAATCGCACCAAACCGACCCGAAATCTAGTGCGATTGTCTGTTTCCTCCGCGAACAATTGCGCCACCACAAAACTTAGCGGTTTATGTTGTTCCCCGTCTCAAACGCTCTAGCAGTTGTTGTCCTGCTAATCCGACTTGATTCTGGCACTGTTAGACAGTTCAATGCCACCGTTATCTTCCCCTTAACCTCCTTTCAAACCCCCACCACCTTCTCGCCAACACTCCCAATTGCTGACCATCACCCTTGTTTTGTTCGCGTGCTTCAAGCAAAAATTTGATCGCTCTCAACGTCGGAAATCAACCCCATCACCACCAATAGCTTCACCGGCATCCCACCTCAAAAACCCCTAACAGCCATGATCTTGGTTGCCCGTCGTTCGTCGTCTATCACTTCCCTTAGGGTTTTGCAATTTTGATGAAAATTGGGTTTAATTGGAGGTTGATTCAAGGTTTTGCAAGGAGCTTGTGGGTTTGTGATTGATTGGAGGTTGATTGTGCTTGATTTGGAAGTGTTTTTGTGTTGTTTTTTGGGTTGGATTGATTTTGGGGTGGGTTTGGAATGGGGTGGTTTGGTCAACTGTGGTGGTGGTTTGGCCAGAATGGGAGGGCATGAAGACGGGAGGTATCATCTGCGTATGTATCAGAACCCAACAATCACTAATATGTAGAGGTGGGCAAGGGACCAGTCCCTTGCGGGCCCTGGCCTGGGCCCATTTAGGACTGGTCCCAAATGGGACCAGTCACTCATGGGCCTAGGACCGGTCCCAAGCCCATGAGAAAAACCAGGACCCGGACCAGGCCCTAGACCTGGTCGGGACTGGTCCCATGGGCCCAGGACCAGTCCCATGGGCTTTGGATAATTTCATTTTTCCCCTTCAATTTTTTTATATTTTGGGGGCAAAACAAAATTTTATAAGGGGTTTTTAGTTTTTTTTTGGGGTAAAATTTATAAATTTTTTAGACCTAGAAGATTTTTTTTTTAATAAATTTTGCAAAATTTCATTTTAGCTCTCGTAATTTATATTTATTTTAAAATTAACAAGGGGTTTTATGTAATTTGACAGGGGACTACATTGAAAAAATACAAAATTTTTTGGGCCCGGGCCTGGGGCCAGAGGAGGGCCCGGGCCCTCCTCCTTAGGCCTGGTCCCAAAAGGTCCAGTCCTCTCAAGGACCGGTCCTAGGACCGAGTTTTAGAGCTGGGTTTTTGGGCCCGGTCCCAAATGCCCAGCTCTACAGTAACATGTTAATTTAATGGTGGGAACTGGAATATATAAAACCAGTGGTGGGAACTTGCCATTTCACTAAACCTTGGGTGGAAACATGTCGTTTGCTCTTAAATCGTATAGAACGTTTAAATCTACATTATGGGTGCATTTGGATCGGGGTCATATAAGTTAACGGGGTAATCTTTGTTTATTTTGCAAAATTCTGTTATTTGGTTTACAAATAATAAAATATTACGATATTTTTTTATTATAAATATTATTTACTGTTGGTAATGTAAGGGGTAATCAAATATCCTCCCCAGTGGCTGTTATTAAAAGATTACCGAGATAATATGATTTTTATACTTATGTTGCTCTTAATTAAATACCATTTCGGGCACAATTGTCCTGAAATGTCTATCAAAAAACAATTACCTAACCCCTTTATATTTGAGAAAATAGCTAAAACACCCCAGTAACAAAAAATTTAGAAGTTAACAAAATACCCCCAGTAACTCAAGACGGTCCGGCAAGTTGGCGACAATCACAGTAACGACGCATGACCAATGGGATCTAGCCTATTGTGCACCGGTAAGGCCGTTTTCGGCCATGGATCTATGATCCATGGCTGGAAATGACTATGAATCTGCGATCCATGGTCGAAAACATTATATGATTCAATCACACCCTATAAGATAATCAAAAACTCACTAAACTTCAGGATTGACAACGTGAAAGACAGGAAAGGAACCAAGGGAGTCACATGCTCAACATTATCTTATAACTATTTCATATTTGATTTATAAGGGCATTGATAACATAATTTGTGGCTTCAATCATGCCTTAGCTTATTGGATTTGTCATTATCTCTATACTCTCTAGTCCTAAATGGAACTTTTAGATCAGAAGTTGCAACGGCCGGCGTCGTGCATGCCAGATCATAATACTGCCCAACCACAATAATATATTATGAGAATGGATATTTACATAAAAAACATGTTAATCTCAACGTAATAACACATTAATAGAAATAAATTTCTGAAGTTTGACAATCATATAGTCAATTAACGTTGAAAATGGTGCACACTGGATTGATTATGATTAAGACCAAATTGAAAACAGTGTCATAATCAGATCAAAATTAATCAACAAATGTACCTCATTTTTCACACACGGACTCAGTTCAATTTTAGAGTGGATAGTGTAAAATTGAACACCAATTCTCATCATTTTTCTTTGTCGAATGGTCCACCTATTATTACTACTTGTGACTTTATAGCACACAGTTTAATTCATTAAGTCAATGATTTCTTATGAGTTGTGACACTTACTTATTCAATATTAAATTAAATTAAAATTTGAGGTATCTAATTAAAGACTTGAGAAATGAAATTTCAACTCAGTTTACAATTTATGGATGGAAATTCTAAAAATATTATACATTCTAGAAAACTAGAATTCAAACACAAATAAGACAAATATAAAAGTACACAAAATACTTAACCAAACTCATTGACTTGCATGGTATAGGTAGCTACCTATATTAATTAATTATGTGGGCGCTCAAAGCTTCAGTTTCCCATCTAGACTCTGCACATGGAGAAATTATATTGATCTTAATTAATAATAAACACTGTATTTGCAAGAACGTGGAGTGAAGATGGTGATAAAATATTAAATAAAAGATGAACTTACCGTTCGAATTCAATGTTAAGAGATTTGGCAGAGGATTTTGCGATAGCTGTAAATGCAGTCGCAGAAAGGGCAATGGTAGAAGGAGCAGTAGGCCGAGACACTGAAGTTCTAGCATTATCGACAATCTTAACAGTAACAACTTTGCCACCAGGAACACAAGCATGAGTTCCACTTGAACTTATGCATCTCACACGGTAGTGCGTGCCACAGGCTGCACCATTATCCCATAGCCCATCCCCGGCTGCCGCGAATAGGCCGTTCGACGGGAACTGTGATTGATCATTGCCGGCACAAGCCGTTGCTGTTTAATTATTATTAATCAGTTTAATTTCTAATAGCTGTATATATAGCCATGCAGGTTTAATTTGTAAAAATGGCATACTTACGTAAGTATGGGGGGCCGTACCGAGAAGCAGTGCCAACACCAGTTACCGCACCATGGGAGAGACGGAAGAATGCTGCTGCTGACAGAAACACAAACAGCCATATATATAGTTGCTGATGCATAGTCATGAATCCTCTGCAAAGCACAGTACTATGTATCTTATGTTCATGAATAATGAGAGTGAAAGATATACATTCATATATATATATATATAGAAGAAAACGAAACATGGAAATTCAATTTATAGAAATTTCAAAGCCGATTAATTTGATTTATTTAATCACGTTTCATATAGTGTTTTTTGATGTAGAACAAATAAAGGGTAATATTTGATAATTATAATATATATATCTATGTTTATCACCACTTCTTTCTTATAGCTGCACAACTGTCTACGTTCTCAATTCAAGATATCTTAGTCCTCTGGGACCATCTTAGGGTCAATCTCGTTTCTGTGGTCTTATGCTCCACCCTCTTAGTGTTTTCTATCGACCGTTTACTTTTTAACTCGTCCCCAACCTGTTATCTTGTGAATTTTGCATGTTATAAGCAGAAGATGCTAGGAAATGCCCTAAGCAGATTTTCATGGAAAGATCTCGTTTAACGGGAACTTTCACTGAGCAAAATCTTGAGTTTCAAAAGAAAATTCTTGAGAGGTCAGGCCGGAGAGTCAACTTACCTCCCAGAGGGTTTTGAGAGTTCCTCCCAATCCTTGTATGGCGGAGGCAAGAAAAGAAGCTGAGACTGTAATGTTTGGGCACTTGATGAGTTATTTAGAAAACGTCTTGAAACCAAAAGAAATATTGGGATCTTGATTGTAAATTGTAGCTTGTTTAATCCAACTCCTTCTTGTCTGCAATGGTTATTAATCATTACAAGCTTAGAGGGAATATATTAGTTAAATCTCGTGGAATGGGTTGTAGTGCTGGTTTGATCTCGATTGATCTTGCCAAAGATCTTCTTCAAGTGCATCCAAATTCATATGCTTTGGTCATTAGCATGGAAAACATAACGTTGAATTGGTATTTTGGGAATGAGAGGTCGATGCTTGTCTCAATGCTGTGTTTAGAATGGGTGGAGCTGCTATATTACTTTCAAACAAGAGGTCTGATCGGTGGCGAAAGTATAGTTTGGTCCATATGTTAGAACACACAAAGGTTCTGTGATAAGTGCTTCTCTGTGTTACTCAGCAAGAGGATCCTACGGGAAGGATTGGAGTGTCTTTGTCGAAGGATCTGATGGCAGTCGCTGGAGATGCCTTGAAGACTAATATCACTACCTTGGGCCCTCTTGTGTTGCCAATGTCTGAACAGTTTCTCTTCTTTGCCACGTTGGTCGGGAGAAACTTTTCAAGATGAAAATTAAGCCTTACATTCCAGATTTTAAATTGGCTTTTGAGCATTTCTGCATTCATGCTGGAGGAAGAAGCTGTGCTGGATGAGTGTGGAAAAGAACTGCAGCTTTCGGACTGGCATATGGAACCTTCAAGGATGACACTTTATAGATTTGGTAACACTTCACAGCAGCTCTCTTGGTATGAATTGGCCTACTCAGAAGCCAAGGGGAGAGTTAAGAGGGGAGACAGGACATGGCAGATAGCATTGGATCCGGATTCAAGGTAACAGTGCAGTTGGAAGGCTTGAGGACGATAAATCCAGATAAGGAGAAAAACCATGGATGGATGAGATTCAAAAGTTCCCAGTTGATGTTCCAAAGGTTGCAGTCATCTAAAGTTGTAGTAGTTATTACCATTCCCAGTTCATTGTTGTGATGCTTGGTGGTGACTGCACTGCTTGTGAGTGATAAAAGATGATAGCATCCAGGTGTCTTCTATATTGCAAGCTTTATGGTGTGTTCAGTCTAGTGTAGGTAAATGCTGCTTGTGTTCAAATAGGACATTTTTCGTGATGGTTTACTGTAGCATTCTGGTTGGTGTCACTTAGTTCTAGTGAGGGATAGGATCGTGGGAAACTATGATTTTCTAGCAAATTACTAGGACTTTCTGAGCTAGGACCAGAGAAGAACGCTGTTGCGTTTCAGATGACATGTTGTTCTGGGAATTTATGGAGAAGAGAATGCTACATTTCCTTGCTTCTGATAATTGATTGATGTTCTCATTAGTACCATGATTCATCAATTTCAGAAATTCTATCACAAAGTTGCTGTGCTGTTGGTTTTATTTCATTATCATATAACTCAGAAATTTTGTCACAAATAGTTTCATCCCATGCCGATTAGAATAGATAAACATTCATCCGAATTCATATATTCTTTATGTGCCCAGAACGAGCCATTTTGGTTCTAAATCGAAATCTGCAATTTAATAATAAATAATAGTAACTTAAACTATTAGAAGACAAATAGATTATACAGTTTGTTCAGTTCAGATTAGTCATGATATTTATTTTGAGCATTTTGAATGTCCATTTAAATGTCCAATTTGGGACTAACTTATTTGGTAGGATGCCAAATGGAACGATTAGGCTTCAATTTATGAGTCCAATTTACGTAATTAAGACTTCTTTGTTAGTCTGCCATATATTACAGCTAGCCTATTGCAATAAAAATGTTTGGCAATTTGTTCTAGAAAGTACTTTCGGTAATGATAATCAATTTAGAAAAATACTTTGAATTAATCATGAGCAAAGGACATGTTCCCACCAAGGTTTAGCATAATGGCAAGTCCCTAACCTCTGGTTTCATAAATTTTCATATTCTCACCTTAAATAATAAAAAAATTGGTAATTATAAGCTTAAAGAATAATACGATCATTCCAAACTTAGTTCTCATACACCAACTCACCACTATTGCCAACACTTGCGTTGGCCATTTCTGTGGGATCCCTACTAGATTTCTCACCCAAATCGACAAGATTCATCACCCTCAACCAACAATCAAACTTCATCACACAACCAAACAATCAATCAACGAAATCAAAAGAAAAAAAACCTAGAAAACTTGCAACTATAGTCGCGTGCAAGTTTCTCTCCACCTTGCTCCACCCCCAATCGCACCAAATCCGACCCGAATCTAGTGCGATTGGTCGTTTCTCCGCGAACAATTGCGCCACCACAAACTTAGCGGTTTATGTGTTTTCCCCGTCTCAAAGCCTCTAGCATGTTGTTGTCCTGCTAATCCGACTTGATTCTGGCACTGTTAGACCAGTTCAATGCCACCGTTATCTTCCCCTTAACCTCCTTTTCAAACCCCCACCACCCTTTCTCGCAACACTCACCAATTGCTGACCATCACCCTTGTTTGTTCGCGTGCTTCAAGCAAATTTTGATCGCTCTCAACGTCGGAAATAAACCCATCACACCAATAGCTTCACCGGCATCCACCTCAAAAACCCCTAACAGCCATGATCTTGGTTGCCCGTCGTTTGTCGTCCATCACTTCCCTAGGGTTTTGCAATTTGATGAAAAGTGGTTTAATTGGAGGTTGATTCAAGGTTGCAAGGAGCGTGGGGTTTGTGATTGATTGGAGGTTGATTGTGCTTGATTTGGAAGTGTTTTTGTGTTGTTTTTTGGGTTGGATTGATTTTGGGTGGGGTTTGGAATGGGGTGGTTTGGTCAACTGTGGTGGGTTTGGCCGAATGGGGGGCATGAAGACGGGAGGTAATCTGCGTATGATCAGAACCCAACAATCACTAAATGTAGAGGTGGGCAAGGGACAGTCCCTTGCGGCCCGGCCTGGGCCATTAGGACTGGTCCCAAATGGGACCAGTCACTCATGGGCCTAGGACGGTCCCAAGCCATGAGAAAAAACCAGGACCGGACCAGGCCTAGACATGTGGCGGGACTGGTCCCATGGGCCCAGGACCAGTCCCATGGGCTTTGGATAATTTCATTTTTCCCTTCAATTTTTTTATATTTTGGGGGCAAAACAAAATTTTATAAGGGGTTTTTAGTTTTTTTGGGGTAAAATTTATAAATTTTTTTGACCTAGAAGATTTTTTTTTAAATTTTGCAAAATTTCATTTAGCTTCGTATTTATATTTATTTAAAATTAACAAGGGGTTATGTAATTTGACAGGGGACTACATTGAAAAAAAATACAAAATTTTTTTTGGCCCGGCCTGGGGCCAGAGGAGGGCCCGGGCCCTCCTCCGCGAGAACCCTTTTCAAATCCCCTTCCATTGAACCAAATATACCCATTGAACATCAATTTCAAAATGTCTAATAATTCAAATGCTGTAGCCTATGCCTATCCCACCAATTAAGTACTTAAATTCTTCATATCATTTTTCTTTAAGAAAAGAGGAAATTCAATGAGATATAACTTATTAAACATTGTAGCTATTGGGACAATAATAATTCACAGAACATTATAATAATCAAGGAAAAAAAAACACAGAAGATAAAATTACAAACTCAAAAAAGATAAGGGGAGGAGAGAAAAGACGGAGAAGAAAGGAAAGAAAGAGAAGGGAAAAGAGGGAGAAGAAAAGTAAAAAAGAGAAGGGGAGGAGGAAAAAGACGGAGAATAAGAAAGAAAGAAAGAGAAGGGAGAGATGAAGAAGAAGATCAGAGAGATGAGAAAAATGAAATTAAAAAATTAGGGATTTATAGATTAATTTAAAATTAATAGATATAAAATTACTATATTGTCCTTAGTTAAAAGAATTTTACAAACAGATTTGGATAGAAAGTGGGTAATTATCATTTTCAAACCTTTTTAGTACCAAATTGTTGTTATGGCAAACTATGGGTGGGTGTATGTCGTTCCGTCTACTATCTATAGAACACATAGTTCGCTCTACTATCTATAGAACACATATATGATATAACAGTTAACACTATTTTCTCCCACAATATCAATAACAATAATGTTATGCTTACTCACGAGTTTACTAATTGTCTTACTAATTTTGTTAAAATTATATATTGTACCCGTACTATGCGTATAGTATTCGTATTATGCGTTATATTTACAAAAGATAGTAAGACTGTGAGTAAACATGATATTTCTCCCAACACCCCCTGAAAGTCGCGAACTGACACTTAGACCCCTCAATTATATATTTTGGCTGTTAACTCTAACTAGGCTAAGGGTAAAACAGACTTTTACGTGTTAGACTTAAACAAATTAAGTTAAAAATATGAAAAGAATTTAAAAATAAAATCTAAAACTAAAAGAATTTAAACTTTAAA